ATGCGCCTTCTTCACGATACCTGCTGTTTCTGTAGGTTTTTCCCTCGATTTTCAAAGTTAATTTCTAGCTCAAAACCTAACCATTTTCAGTGTTCTACCTATGTATGTAAAGCTTGTAATGAAGAGAGTATGATTATATCGTCATGGGGACAAATCGTGGTCTGGGATGGCCAGAAAAAAAAAACATCTTGAAAGTGGCCGGATGGCCACGGTTTTACTTCTCCAGAAAATTGGGGAAAGTCTCCCCTTCGTCCCTACAGTCTCCAAACCCTACCAAAACAAGTGCAAAACCCTAAGATCTTCCACATATATCAAAAATGGAGGAAAATGGAGTGTTCCCGATACCTACCTTGGTTAAAATCGACGAGAACTCAACGGAAAAGATGATGAACAATGACAATGGCCACTGTGCAGTGCAAGCTCCACGTCTGGGTTTGATGTTCATGGTTTGAGCTTAACAAAGATAGGAAATAAAAAAGTGTGGTGGTGGTTTGGCTTGCCGGAGCCGGTGAGTGATGGTGATGTTGCTGTTGCACCATTTCGGTGCCTGCAGAGAGACGATGGAGAGTTTGAAGAGAGTTTAAGAGTGTAGAGAGTATGGTGAGGTGGTGATCTAGATTTTTGACGCTTGTCGGAATGGCCACCGTCGCAGGTGGCTGGTGGTGGTGGCTCGGTGCACTGTGCACATAGATAGGGTTTTGAGATGAAAGTGAGAGAGATAGAGTGAGATGTGGGAAATGAGAAGAAAAATATTGAAAAACTTGAGAGGGACCCGAGAGGTTTGGAAGGCACTAGATAGGAGGAAGGACTGAGGAGTCCTACGTGGGTGGGTCCCACTGGACATAAAGCTCAAAAGAAAATGTTAAAATAACAAAGAGCCGATTACCTAGAATAATGAAGTTACTAAAATGCCCTTCAACTTTTTAAGTCCATAAAATCTCCATTGTAACTCTAAGTCCAATTCTATTTGTGCCTACGCGTTCGTATTGTCGAGTACTACAAGGATACGCTAAAAGAATATTTTGTACGTCTTATTAAACGCTGGTCAAAGAAAGTCAATACCATTGCCTTTACGGGCATTTTCGTCAATTCACTCTTTTAAAATTAATAAAATCGTAAAAATTAGGGATGGGTTATTGCAAAGTGGTCGTCGCGCAAAGTGTAAAACCCAATTTCAGAACCCTAGTTTTCAAAGGTTTTGTTTCAAAGGTGAAGGCTGATTTGGTTCCTAATTCAACGAAAAGTTGGAGGGAGAAGGCTCTCGCGAAGGGAAAGGTGAAAAATAAATTTATTGTTGAATTAGTTGTCTTATATTTGATATGGTTGAAATTTTTTTTTTAATAGTCTATTACTTTTAAAAATTTTGTGGTAGAAAAAGAAATGAGGAAAGGTGTGTTGTGAATAGAGAGGTACCGCCGTAAGCGATTACCCTCCTTTGAAGACAAAAGTAGGGCTGATGCATACGTCGAACTTAGGTTTGACATTGGGGGTTTAGTGCAGAACCAATGTTCTACCAAGTTTGAGTCTTGGAAAATGGTGCCTGAGGAGTTGAAGAAGCCCATGGTGGAGGAGTTATCGGTAAGTTCGTATTAAAGAATGTATAATTTTTTTTTTAAGGAGTATTTTTAAATTACTAATTTTTTTTTATTGGCATTAATACATGTTCATTGGGATGTTGATGAAATCGATGAGAAGCATCGAAAGTATCTGGATGACCTTTTCAAGATGCATTTCCAGCAGTAGAAGTTCGATTTGCAGTGGGATGCGAAGCGTGGGGGAGTTCCCGATGCCCCTGCTGATGCCCCAGAGGAGGAGGATTAAAGTTTATTGGTTTTGTTTTTTTTTAAATTTGTTTAGTTATTAATGAAATAAAATATATTTGGACGTTATGTTGACTTTAATTAATAAATTGTGTTATATGGATGACTATTGATATTTGCATTATTTATAATATGTATTTGGGTAATACATTATTTTTATTAATTATTTTGGTAATGTTTAATTAGGTTTGAGTTTTTATTTAGATTAAAATAAAAATTTACATTAGTTAAAAAGAAAACGGAAAAAAATGATTTTTTTTTTTAAATATGCTTGTTGCGCGACTAACAGAGTACTCATTACGCAAATTGTTACATTAATTAATTATAAAGAAAACGAAAAAAATAAAAAAATATTTAGACTTGCGCGACGAATATATATGTTAGTCGTGCAAATATACTTTGCATGATGAACACCATATTCGTCGCGCAAAATGATTCGTGCAAAGTAATCTTTATAATGTAGTTTTAGCTATAGAGGCAGAAACTGTAGTAAAACTACAGAATCCACCTCTGCACCTCCTCCCCCTTCGTTTTTCTTTAATCCAGCATCCGTCACTTCCATTTTCTCTCAATTTCATCATCTAATACTCCATCCATCTTCTTCTCTAGGTTGATCAAGCTATCTCGGTGTGTTTGGTAAGAGGTTTTTTTTTTTTTTGTTAGGGTAAAGGTATTAATGTCAATTCATACCAATGCCATGAAATTCGTTGCCTATAAGGATATTGTGTGTGATTAGCGATTGGTGAAGAACGATTTGGAAGGTATTTTCTTTCTTCTATTTTAAAAAAATATAAAATTAATTAAATTATGTTGTTAAATTTGTACGTGACGTACAAATATGTGTTGTGATGCACAAAATTAATTGTAATTAACTTTGTACTTATTTTTTTTTTTTAGTAAAACTTAGTTTCCCGTTCGAGGATTAGTTAGATTTCACGCATGGATGCGAAAGCATGACTGCAGTACAATTGATTCTTGAATTGTCCCATTATTTGAATAGTTTGGGAATGCACTATTATGGCGTGTTGTTTAATGTTCAAGGATTAGGTTTCGGTTGTGGGGATTTCGGTGTCATCGCTGTACATTCTTTGGATGGCACATAGGTATTTCATATCTATGTCGTCCATCTGAAGAACTATACTGAGATGCCGCTAAAATTCCTCCACGTCGAAATCTAATCTGATGTAGTCGTAATGTGACATAACTTTGCATTCCCGAATAGGATAGGGCCCTTATCGAAGGCATAAGGTGGCAATATCATTTGTATGAAGTTGTGATTGTTGTACTGTTATTATGGTTGCATGAATTGTGGACAGAATATGGATGCAAAACCTGAATAGATGCGTAGACGAATACTTGGATGAAATTGAGGGTTTTATTGACTTTGCACGTACACACAACCTGGGTGTAACGAGAATTCGGTGTCCATGTAAGAGGTGTAACAACACGTTAAGGGACACAATTGAAAATGTTCGATTTCATTTAGTAAGGAATGGAATGGTAGAGGCCAATAATGCTTGGAACCATCATAGGGACCAATTAGACAATGCTTCGTCTTCAAACGCCACAAGAGTGGCCAATGTTGAACCTAATGTGGATCCTAATGAACAGCAGCCCGACCCAAAAAAGAAAAAGCCCAGCAGCATATAATGTGCATGTTATTGATGACAAATATGAGCGGAAGCGAATGCTGCATTCTAGTTCAAATAAGATTAACGGATGCCTCGGTTGTTATATATGTCAGATATGGAAGAGAGGATGAAGATGCTGGCATCTAACACAGCTCAACAAGACACTGGAGACACCTTCGCTGAACGAGCCGAGGCTTACTACAAACGACGCCCTCAGCTTCTCTCTCTGCTTCAAGACTTGTACAATGCCTGCCTCACTTTATCCGATCGTTACGTTCAAACAATCGCCAAAACCAATCATTGACGAGGACACTCCTCCCAAACCTCAATCACTGATAATGACTACTATGACGACTATCATGACCAACAAGACCGAGATGGTGATACATTAAGCCAGATGGATTCGTACGTGGACAGTTCCCTCTCCTATCAGCAATTACCTCTGGCTGCTGCCGCTCAGGATGATGGTATGGTTTTGGATTTGGACGCGATTGTTACGGAGATTGTGATGAAGAATGTCGAATGCGATATCTTACTTGATGAGGCCAACACCACAGAGAGGCGATACAACGAGTCATCCAGGAAGATAGAGTTGCAGAAGAGCTTGCTTGAGGTGCTGGAGTCCGAAAGGCTCATACTACTGCATGAGAATGCCAAGTTGGGGTACAAAATGGGTGCACTGATGGAAGAGAACAAAGCCCTCGCATCCGAGTCCATGTTCATCAAGAGGAAAGCTGGAGAGCTGGCTAGATGTCTGCTCAAGGTGAGGGAGGATCAGAGGGTGTGCATGCTTAGCCGTAAAATCGAGGACCTGCAGGGCCAGATTTATGGGTTGGAGAGGAGGAACAAGGAGTACTATGAGCAACTCGTGAAGAGAGACCAATGGTCCTCCCAACTTGTACAAGAAGAGAGTAGGAGCATCAACAACAAGAGCAAGTTTAATGGGAATGAGGTGAACATGGCGGTTTGCTTCCAAATAGGGAAGATCAATCGGAGGCTGAAGAGCGGTAACAGCACAGTGAAGGATTTTGGCGCTGTGAGCGGGAAGAAGGGTTTGAGTTGGTGGGGAAAGGTCAAGAACATGGATTTGTTTCTGTGCGGAGGCTCTACATTACCTTAATGGTATCTGTTTAGTAAACTTAAGTTAACGGTGGTCTGTTTATATTTCTTCTATTGTTCGGTTGACTCAACGCTGTAATGAACCTGATGACTCCATGGTGATCCTGCCTTATATTAGTTTCATGGTCAAGGAGAATTTGATGCTGAAACCAGGTAAGGTGTGCCACGAAAGTTGAAGTTGCCAACTTTTAATCTATGACTAAACTATTGAATGCTTCAAATGAATTTCCAGCGTTTGGGTCGTTATTTGGAAACTGTACAGTTCATTAAGCAAAACCGATTTCCTCACACAGATGAAAAAGGGACAGTTCTCAAACAGAATTCTGTCTCTAAATTTAGTCAAAACTTGTCTGAAAAATCGGATATGAGGAGACTATAACGAGTAGATTGGAAGATTAGTAAAATGAACACTACACTCTGATCCTGATCCTTAGCATAACAAATGTCTTGTAGATTACGACTATTAAATAGGTACATCAGAAAGTTGTGAGATCCCCACTCGTCCAGGGACATAGTGCTAGTTAGGCTCATGAAAAAAAAACTTACAGATTTCACGAACTTGTATATATACAATACCCTGAGGCTGTTGCAATTGATTTAAAGAGAAAAAAAAAAAGAGAAAAGTGCTGGTCCTATAACTTACCATTTCTTCAGTATACGTAATCATCTTCTTCTTCCTTTTTACCGCCATTCTTAATACATCAGGGTCAAAATTGGCTGGACTCGTCTTGAGTTCTAGAAACCCAGCTACATCTACATGACAAGTAATTGCTTTTTTCGATTGTTCAAACTAAAAGTAAGAGCTCGACCGAAAAAAAAAAAAAAAAAAAAAAAAAACTTCCAAGTAAGAGATTTCGGGATAAGCAACATGCATCACTGTTTTATTAATATTATACTGGCACATCATTACATAAGCAAAATCAAACCATGATCTTCTTATTTACTTAATATTAGATTTCATATAATTAATTTGTGTAGTTGTTTTAATATTAGGTTTCATATAATTTGTGTAGTCGTTTTGATTAATGGTTGTTGTACCAAAACTGTTTCTGAAGATAATCAACCTCCTTCTCGTCCACCTGGAATGCCTTGGCCAAAACATCAGGGTTGATGTGAGGGTTGGATCCGAAGACTGCATTCGCAATGGTGATCACTCCCGGGTTCTGGCTGCTGAGACCCGCGATGGCCAAAGCGTTGGTTGTTCCGACATTGAGTTGGAAGTGAATGAGACCGACTGGGAACACAAACACATCTCCTTTGTACAACACTTTGGTGAACAGCCGATTGCCGTCGGCATTGGATGTGACGAATCCGACGTAGAGTGAGCCTTCCAAGACTATGAGTATCTCCGTGGCACGAGGGTGAGTGTGAGGAGGATTGAGGCCATTTGGTGCAAAGTCTAAGCGAGCAAAGGATATGCCGAGAGTGTTGAGTCCGGGTATATCGTCTACATTTGCCGCCGTAACAATTGAACCAATCGGATTCGATGTGTTTCCGGGGTTCCGGAGCTTGTCAGAGAAGAAATCGTTTGCTGACGCAAGTTTTGGGTTCTTGCAGAACTTCCCGTTCACAAACACTGTTCGAAATGAAACAGACAAACAAATTAATCTTTTTTTTTTTTTTTTTTTTTTTAAATTTTTTTTATGTACGTACAGTACATGCATGGATGATGATGAGCCATCAGCCATGTAACATCAGCCTTGCACAATCATATAGGTTTTAGGCCTGAGTAATGTTATTCATACTATATTTTTGTATCATATTTTCTTAATTATTAGTTTATTAAATAATAAATTAAATTTAAAAATTTGATTAATTCAAATGATGTGGCCGTCCACATGCAATGCTACCTAAGGTGATATAAAATGTGGTACAACCCAAGAGCACATTCTATTTGAGAATAGTTAGTAAGACTAATATGGTATGAATAACATTACTCTTTAGGCCTTGCTATTTCCTACATACTCTATATATTTACTGAAAGGAATTTTACTTGACAAAAAAATAAAACATAAATTAATTATACAACATAAGAGTAATCTTAATTAATGATATTGTATTTACGTAATTAAAACGTATAATTATACGTACCAGCAGGATCGGTGTTATTAATTGCTACGCAAAAGTCTTGAAGAGGACTTGGATCAGAGGCAGAGGCAAGGAGGGTGGCGAATGCTAATAGGGCAATAGCAGTTACAGGGAAATGAACTCCTTTCATCGCTAGCTAAAGTTTATAGGAAATTATCCTATAGATTAGCAAGGACTTGGACCTTGTACTTTGATATATACCGTGTAACTAAAGTAGTATTAGATGATCAGTTGCTTTGAGATGGATGCAAATTATGTATGGGGACACTTCTGTATTTATAGATTAGCAAGAGACACTGATGATGAACTGGTCTTGGATTTTCTTTCTCGATAATCGAAGCAGGTAAAGACTTGGATTAATTCTAGAACCAGATAAAGACTTGGTTGTAATTACGAATTGATTGAACTGGTCGTGGATTATAATTTAATATTAACTGAACTGGTCTTGGATTATAATTTATTATTAATAAAATTTAGTAAAACTAAAATATGCGCATATAGGTGTTTTCAGTAACTAATTAAATCGATCTCAATTAAGATAGCCGAAATTAAAACTATAAATTATGAATAATTTGACACTTGAAATCAGAAGCTACTTATGTTTGAATTTTCCAGCACATAAATAATTTGACTGGGTCCCTTTATTTGGTGTTTCAATATACAATATACAATTTTGCTTGAAAAAGAACAAGTGAAGAATATCCTGTTAAAGTTAACTTTAATCCCACAATTGTTGAGGGCAATTGACAAATGCAACAAAGAAAAGCTACAATTTGAGATGAAAAACTAGAATTTTAAACTTTTGGATCATACGAGTATCCAATTCAATCGAGGATTTTTCTCTTTTTTTTTTTCTTCGTTTTTAAAATTTTTGGGTTTTTCTGTGCTTTTTCTGCTCAACGATGGTGTTGGCGTCGGCTTTTATGGAGATTCTAAGACGACCCACGATAGTTGAGGTGCTGGGGGAGTTGATGATGTTGATAACCCCTATGTCGATTGGTGTGATTGTTATTGGGGGTTTGGTTGGATGGGAGTGGAAGCTTAAATGGGCGAGCTATGGTTGGCCGAGAGAACTTAAGAGATTTTTTGTTCCTGGTTTTTGAGAGAGAGCTGGAGAGATCGAGAGAGGTGTATCGGAAGCAGTAGAAGAGCTTTCTGCGATGACCAACACGTGGGTTTATCCTATCAAGAAAGGAGAACAACAGCTGAAACTCAAGGACGCATTATACCCACATGCGTATCACATAGATAAAACTGTCATTTTACTATTAAGATTGAAACTAAAAAAGCAAAAGAACAGCAAAACAAGGGATAAAACGTGAAAACACCAAATATTACTGTGTTCTATAATATGTAATTTCCGTTCTTTTCTTCTCATTGTAGTAATCTTCTAGTCATGGTTAGTCATGTTTTCATAAATTGGACAATGAACAAAGTTTGGCCCCGAAAAGATGTCCAATGCGGACCTGATTTCTCATGTAAATCCAAATTGATCAAAAGTGAACAATTAACAAAAATATGTCTACGTTGGTGCACTTGAATTTCGAAGTGGTCCAATATAGAATGAGTTTTACTATAAGGAATATATGGTCGCGGCTTATTCAACTTCAAATATGAAGTGTTTAGACCATCCCCATCTTTGGGTTAAAACCTAAATATTTTAATTCAGAAAATTTATGTCACATCTCGGCCCGGGCCTCCACCACATCCTCGCCCAGGCCCCCATCACATCCCGGGCTCAACTCCACCATAGCACGATATTGTCCGCTTTGGGTCCCGACCACGCTCTCTCGGTTTTGTTTTTGGGAACTCACACGAGAACTTCCCAGTGTGTCACCCATCTTGGGATTGCTCTCGCTTAACTTCGAGTTCTTACGGAACCCGAAGCCAGTGAGTTCTCAAAAGGCCTCGTGCTATTTGAAGGTGGGCAGGTACATATAAGGCTTACAGAATCCACTCCCCAGGACGATGTGGGATATTACAATTTAGATTTTAATTCAGAAACAGTTTTTCTCCTCCAACCATTCTGGGTTAAATTTTTAGCCTTAGATTATTAAAGAATGAATTTAGGATAATTTCTTTCTTAAAGTAACTTTTTTTTTTAATAGAAAAATTATGTAGACTATCATAATTTAATTTTATGAACATTTTAACCTAAAAATATTTACATTCCAATATATATTGAAAAATCACTAAACCGACACCATGAAACTCGTGGAATACTACGAAAGAATATGAAACACATAAAATAATTTTTTTCTAACTACTTTAGCAGTTGGATTTAAATTTGGACCGTTAGATATCTTTTTTTACCGTTGGATTTGATTAAGTTAGATCTTAATCATTGAATTCAATGAATTTATAAATATAAAACTAAAAAAAATAAATATACATATATGGTAGGTCAGCTCCACTAATAGAATCCTAGGCTAAGCCCTGATTGGGTACTGAGGTGACTTTAAAAAAAGTGGTAGTAGTAGCTGCTAGATGATCAGTTACTTAGAGATGGATGAAAATTATGTATGGGGACACTTCTGTATTTATAGATTAGCAAGAGACACTGATGATGAACTGGTCTTGGATTTTCCCTCTCGATAATCGAAGCAGGTAAAAGACTTGGATTAATTTTTAGAAGCAGGTATAGACTTGGTTGTAACTACTAATTAATTGAACTGGTGCGATGTGCACATGCACGTGAAAGATTGGCCCTGGCCTGGGCGAGTATTAACACCAGTGTAGAAAACAATGCGCAGATAACATAAATATAGTCATGCCATAATGATTCGATAATTCTAGTCAACATAACATTATTCATAGCCGTAGATTTAGCTAAGGCATCCTGTAAGATTTATAATGATTTCCTAATTCTCATTGTTACATCATTTCCTATAAATGTTAATTTAATTACGACAGTCACATAGAAAATTCATTATTAGAAGTATATATGGAAACTAAACAAATATATGTATATATAAAGAAAAGACTCACTCACATATCATGTCGTCAGGTCAAACCTACCTCGCTGGCATCAAAGATCCTTGCGATGCGTTTCACCTAGAAACGAAACCATTAACGTACATATATAACGTATTAACGTACTTACGCGTTTTCGTACAAAGTACGGCTAATAAAGGAACTATTTTAAAAAGGTCGAATTTTAGAAAGTGGATGGCGGATTTGGATTCAGCATGTCGAGAAGCCTAAGGAGGGACCTCTGGTTCCTCCAAGCGTCACCACACGCGTTGCTGCATGCGCCGCCATAAGGTGGCTGTACATGCAGCAATGCACCACCACGCTGTGGCTTCCCATGCGCCTTCTTCACGATACCTGCTGTTTCTGTAGGTTTTTCCCCCGATTTTCAAAGTTAATTTCTAGGTCAAAACCTAACCATTTTCAGTGTTCTACCTATGTATGTAAAGCTTGTAATGAAGAGAGTATGATTATATCGTCATGGGGACAAATCGTGGTCTGGGATGGCCAGAAAAAAAAACGTCTTGAAAGTGGCCGGATGGCCACGGTTTTACTTCTCCAGAAAATTGGGGAAAGTCTCCCCTTCGTCCTTACAGTCTCCAAACCCTACCAAAACAAGTGCAAAACCCTAAGATCTTCCACATATATCAAAAATGGAGGAAAATGGAGTGTTCCCGATACCTACCTTGGTTAAAATCGACGAGAACTCAACGGAAAAGATGATGAACAATGACAATGGCCACTGTGCAGTGCAAGCTCCACGTCTGGGTTTGATGTTCATGGTTTGAGCTTAACAAAGATAGGAAATAAAAAAGTGTGGTGGTGGTTTAATGGTTTGGCTTGCCGGAGCCGGTGAGTGATGGTGATGTTGTTGTTGCACCATTTCGGTGCCTGCAGAGAGACGATGGAGAGTTTGAAGAGAGTTTAAGAGTGTAGAGAGTATGGTGAGGTGGTGATCTAGATTTTTGACGCTTGCCGGAGTGGCCACCGTCGTAGGTGGCTGGTGGTGGTGGCTCGGTGCACTGTGCACGTAGATAGGGTTTTGAGATGAAGGTGAGAGAGATAGAGTGAGATGTGGGAAATGAGAAGAAAAATATTGAAAAACTTGAGAGGGACCCGAGAGGTTTGGAAGGCACTGGATAGGAGGAAGGACTGAGGAGTCCTACGTGGGTGGGTCCCACTGGACATAAAGCTCAAAAGAAAATGTTAAAATAACAAAGAGCCAATTACCTAGAATAATGAAGTTACTAAAATGCCCTTCAACTTTTTAAGTCCATAAAATCTCCATTGTAACTCTAAGTCCAATTCTATTTGTGCCTACACGTTCGTATTGTCGAGTACTACAAGGATACGCTAAAAGAATATTTTGTACGTCTTATTAAACGCTGGTCAAAGAAAGTCAATACCATTGCCTTTACGGGCATTTTCGTCAATTCACTCTTTTAAAATTGATAAAATCGTAAAAATTAGGGATAGGTTATTGCAAAGTGGTTGTCGCGCAAAGTGTAAAACCCAATTTCAGAACCCTAGTTTTCAAAGGTTTTGTTTCAAAGGTGAAGGCTGATTCGGTTCCTGATTCAACGAAAAGTTGGAGGGAGAAGGCTCTCGCGAAGGGAAAGGTGAAAAATAAATTTATTGTTGAATTAGTTGTCTTATATTTGATATGGTTGAATTTTTTTTTTTTTTTAATAGTCTATTACTTTTAAAAATTTTGTGGTAGAAAAAGAAATGAGGAAAGGTGTGTTGTGAATAGAGAGGTACTGCCGTAAGCGATTACCCTCCTTTGAAGACAAAAGTAGGGCTGATGCATACGTCGAACTTAGGTTTGACATTGGGGGTTTAGTGCGGAACTAATGTTCTACCGAGTTTGAGTCTTGGAAAATGGTGCCTGAGGAGTTGAAGAAGCCCATGGTGGAGGAGTTATCGGTAAGTTCGTATTATAGTTTTTTTTTTTAAGTAGTATTTTTAAATTACTAATTTTTTTTATTGGCATTAATACAGGTTCATTGGGATGTTGATGAAATCGATGAGAAGCATCGAAAGTATCTGGTTGACCTTTTCAAGATGCATTTCCGGTAGTAGAAGTTCGATTTGCAGTGGGATACGAAGCGTGGGGGAGTTCCCGATGCCCCTGCTGATGCCCCAGAGGAAGAGGATTAAAGTTTATTGGTTTTTTTTTTTAATTTGTTTATTTATTAATGAAATAAAATATATTTGGACGTTATGTTGACTTTAATTAATAAATTGTGTTATATGGATGACTAT